CTTTCACTTACCCTCCTGGTATGACTACTCTCATTATTGTTCCAGGGGAGGGGGTGGTTTATCTATCCTGAATTCCCTGTGTTTCCAGCTCTTATCTGTACCTGTGTACATGCTCTGGTCTAGCCAGATTTGTCAGGTAGAATTGGGGTCATGATAGTGGTGGCGGGGGAGCATTAAAGAACTAGAGGAAAGTTGTATGTTTCATTGGTGCTGTACTGCACCTTGACTGGCTCCTCTGTTCCTTGTGACCCTTCTGTAAGGGATGTCCAACTGTCTGCAGATGGGCTTTGGGTCTGCACTCTTCACTCCCCCTCATTCATGTTTATGTGATTTTTTGTTCTGGGTCTTTGATGCCTGCTACCTGATCCTATTGACACTCCATGGTCACAGTGTGTTTCTTCCATGTGAGCTTTGTTGCTTCTCAGCTAGATGGCTGCCTGTTTATCTTTAAGTTTTTAAGACCTCAGACACGATAGCCGAGCACCATCATCTTTCTTCAAAATACATTAGCCACATTCAAATTCAAAGCATCTCAGACTTTGTCTTTTTTCCTTTTTGCTTATGTCACAGAAATTTTTACTGCAAACAAATGAACTGTAGCAAAGTGATAACCAGTGCATGTGTCCTGAGGGCAAAGTTGGGGGCACAGGTGAATGTCTGTCTGCCTGGTGGGGTCTGTGGCCAGGTCTAGGCAGTGAGCTCTTGGAGCTGGGGTATGAAAGTCCAACATTGCCCCATACAAAATAGAAAAATAGCTCTGTAGTCCAGCTGTTTCTGCCTTGTGGCAGTTCCCGTAGGCAGGACAGTCCTTCGTGCCACCAGACCTCCTGCCACCTGGTCCAGCCACAGAGAGGGAGCAGGAGCATGTGGGAATCAGAGTTTGTTTTGAGTATTTTCTCACAAGGTGAGTTATTATTGCTGTTCTCTTTGAGCCCAAATCTGCCTTCCTAACCCTCTCTCCAGGAAAACATTTTGTTTAGTGCTTGATTAATGCTTGTTTTCTGTTGTCAACTTATTTATATTTTGTTTTATTAGCCTTATGGGTCTTACTTGTATAGAAAAACACTATTCAACAATGTCCAGTAAAGATAGGCAATCACCTTTGACTGTCTGATTTCTCTGACACAGAATGCCTAGAAGCTATAGAGAGAAAAGTGTAGTTTTGGTCTTGGGAAGAAGACTTGTAAGGACAGTAAAAATTGAATCACAGAACTGCTCCTCAGCAAGTACTATATGTTGGGTGCTTATATTTATTAAGGAGTCTTGGGGGTGCTGTGTTTACATGATGGGCTATGATCGTCAAGGGCAGCAGTTCAAAACTACCAGCTGTTTCATGGGAGAAAGATAGGGTTTTCTATTTCTATTAAGAGTTACTGTTTTGGAAACTCACAGGGGGCAGTTCTACCCTGACCTATAGGGCCATTGTGAGTTGGCATCAACTCGGTGGTAGCAAGTTTGGTTTTAGTTTACACTTATTAAGGGATTAATTTTAAATAAATTAGGATACAGTCTCTTATTTAACTCATGAATTAATGGAGAGACCAATAGATTTTTAAAGGATATTTACATTTATGATCAGATAAAGAATGTGAAAATGACTTATTAATTGATACAAAACTCTTTGTAGCCACATGGATACAATTTCCATTTCTATAGACATAAATTATTTTCATTATTATAAACTTTCATTATATATAAATTTTATCTACAAGTTCATAAACTAGCTTAGAGGCAAGGCAACCAAAGGCACACATAACCCAGATGGGTGAACTGAATAGGACACCCAATAAATGTCAGCCTTTCATATTTAAAAACAATTGTATAGTCACATTTTTAAAATCACATATTCTATCTTTCCTTCCTAGAGAGTGTTTTGATACATCTGACATCTTTGTAATGATAAGTATATTGTGATCAAGGAATTAATTAGTAAATTAAGTTTGTTTTTATTTATTTATTTATTTTAATAGTTTTTGATCAAAGATGCTTGAATAAGAAATTTTGCATCGAAATATGCATATTTACTACTCACCTTACGATAAACATAAAATTGAGGGTTCTCTTGTGGATCTTGTAGTAATGATTCATGTTGTGGTTTTTCTGGGTGCTGTTGAATGGGTTATAACTCAGGATGACTGGTCAACAGAAAAAAAACCCTGCTCTGCCTGTGACGTTCTGACAATCAGTGTTGTATTTGAGCCCTCGTTACAGCCGCTATGCCATTCTATCTAGTAAGGGATCTTCTTTTTTCACGATTCTCTAATTTATGGGGAATAATGCATTTTTCCAGGGACTAGTCTCTTCTGACATGTCCAAAGTACGTGAGTTGAGGTTTTGCCATGGCTTTATTTTTTCCAAGGCAGACATTTCTGCTCTTTTGGAAGCCTATGATTCTTTCAAAATCATTCACCAATATCAAGTAATTCAAATGCATTGACTATTCTTCAGTCTTCTTTATTCATTGTCCAACTTTCATATGCATCTGAGGCCATCGAAAATATCAAAGTTTGAGTCAGGTACAGCTTAGACCTCAAAGACTTGTGCTTCAGATTTGCCCAATGCAGTACATTCTTTGACTTTTTGGTTGCAGCCTCTGCGAGTGTTGATTGAGGATCTAAGTAAAATGAAACCCTTGACAACATCCATCTTTTCTGTTCATCAGTGCAGATTGGTCCATTTGTTAGAATTTTTTCTTTACATTCCTTTGCAACCCATCAGGAAGGCTGTCGTCCTTGATCTTTATCAGCAGATACTTCAAGTCCTCTTGATTTCAACAAGATTGAGTCACCTGAATATAGGGAGTTGTAAATAAGTCTTCTTCCAATTCTGATGCCCCATTCATGTTTACGTAGTCCAGCTCCTTGGTTTACTTGCGCAGCACACAGTCTGAATCAGTATGGTGAATGTATATAATGCTGAGGCACACCTGTTCTGATTTTAAACAAGCATTCCTTCTTCTGTTCATACAACTGCCTCTTGGTCTACATCATGTTCTCTAGGACCACAATCAAGTGTCCTGGAACTCTCACTCCTCCCCGCTCACAACTTATCTTTACAAACCTCATGGTATTCTACATGCTGGACCCGATCTCTGCAATAGAAGAGAAGTTTGCTAGACAACTTGAATCAAGTATTCAACGATAAGAAATCTTCCTGTAACTCACAGAACCACTTCAACAACAACAGTGGTAATAATAATGACAGAAATAGAGACCCCACTATATGAATGGATTGTGATTTACAGGACCTTTTAGTACCTTGCAGGGCAGAGAGGCCTTACAGGTGAGAGTCACCAGCTACACAGGATTGCCCAGGCTGTCCATTTTTATGGAGGCAGACTGACAGGGCCAGCAGCCCAAACTCAACCCAGTGGGTGCCAGAGCTCCATCATGTGTCAGACATGAAGCTATGGGTTTTATTTGTTTTTAATTTTTTCCCATAAAGCATTTAAAATACCTAAGGCTATGCCTATTTTATAGAACTGCATCTCATGCCTTCTTTACTCTAAATCCTTCTTTTTTAATAAGGAAGGAGAAAATTCAACCAAACCAGCGTCCATGGATTTATCTGAATTAGAGCATTTCAAAAGCAACATGATTCAGCAAACTCAACAGCAATCCTCTTCTGGCTTTGAGTTTCCCTATAACTTGACTTCGTTCCTCTCAGTTTTAAGTTACGGGTAGTTATATATAAATATTTATATTTAATCCCTGTACAGTGCTTTGAAGAAGAATCTCTCAAGATATAAAAACCTCAATTACCCTTGTTATGAGTGGAAAGGTTTGAAAGGACTTGAGTACTTTGCTTTAACTATTTTAAAGTTGGGAACTATGGACTTCTAGTTATTCAGAGAGGTGGGGGGAGGGGAGCCATCTGAAGTTACAATATAAATGCCGTTTGAGGAACCGAGATAGTATCTGGACTGCCCACATTGTAAAGCAGATGTATGTGCACACTTGCCCTCTCCTTTGCACCCCTCTCTTCCTTTTTCTTTGTAACCTTATCTGCTTTAAGTGCTTAAAGGATAATTTAGTATCTGACCCCCCCCCCCACACACACGCACACACACATTCACACCATGTGTTGAGTTTGACTGTTTTCTTTTTCTTTCTTTCATGCACCAGGGGAAAATTTTAGTATATGTTGTATTTAATTTAGTCTTCAGATGAATCTTTCTTTTTGCTGTATAGATACCTCCCTAAGCTCTCATTGCTTGCTTTGCATTTCTTTGTCTTCTCACCACACCAAAACAAAACAAAATATAAACCCAACCCACTGCTTGACATGATTCCAACTCAGAGTGGCCCTTTAAGACAGAGTAGGGCATTCCCATAGCGTTTCCAAGGCTATAAATCTTTATGGACACAGATTGTCTCTTTCTTCCTCGGAGTGACCGCTGGATTGAAACTACTGCCACTGATCTTGCTGTTCACCCTCAAGCACTTTAATCACAGCACCACCAACACTGGCACCACACCAAAATCAAGGGCACTTCTAAATAGAGAAGTCTTTTCCCAGCTTAGCTATGGGTTTTCTCCATCCTGCTAGTGGGAAGGGTCAGAACAAGGAAGTATCATGAGTCATTACTATTGCCACACTCTCAGGAAAACCCCGACTTGGCCTTCCTCTTGCTCTGTATCCTCTCTGGATCATACAATTTATGTTCTCAGAACACTTATTCAAGAGGATTCCTGAAGGAAAATAGAAGGGATTTCATTTAAAAACAACAATAATTATAGAAAGTTCATCAGGCACAAATTATCCTCTAGTGAAGAACAGAAGAATGTGTCCTGATCCAAACATTTTATCTCCTCACTTATCTAGTATCTCATTGTCTATCATTTTGCATTTATAAAAAATTATTTTTTAAAAACCTACTACTTGACTACAGAGCTCAGCTGTACTGTGTAAGACATGGGGTCACCATGAGTCAGAATCCTGAAGATACTGGGTTTGGTTTGTTCGTTTATTTATCTATCTATCTATTTATTTATTTTTTACTCTGTCATGACACAGATTGAAGCTTACCAACACAAGATGTTACCACTTCACCCAAAAGCAGTGTTTTTATTCTGCCCTGTCTTGACAGCTCAGACTGAGCAAAAGACTCAACAAATGCTTTTAACCGGGGAGGGCTTTTTGGTTTGTTGTGTCAAGGAATTCCACTATGTGATGACATGGATTTATTTTACTCATATGTATGAAGATGCATTATGAAATCATAGAGAGACCCTTGAATTGACTTTTGTCTCACTAGGTAATGGGGATTTGGGGAACTCATTTTACCTGGGCAGCACTCCGTTTCCTAATTGGGTATATACTTAGGAACTACTATTTTCCATAGTGGCTACACCACTTTCCCTTCTTACCTGCAATAGCTAGGGTTCCAATTTCTCCATATTCTCATCAATACTTGTTATTAAATGACTTTTGAATCCTAGTGGATGACATCATATTGTGATGTTGGTGTGCATTTCCCTAGAGCTAATGAAGAAACTGTCAGGAGAACAAACGTATTTGTCTTGGGAGAAGTATGAGAGCAGGTGGCAGGGCTTTGCCTCATGCACTTTGGGTATGTTTTCAGGAGAGATCAGTCCTTGGGAGGTGACATCACGTTTGGTAAGAAGAAAGGGAAAAAGAGGAAGACTCCATTTGGATTGACACAATGATTCAAAGAGTGTTCTCAAATAAAAATAATTGTGAGGATGGTGCAGTACTGGGCAGTGTTTTGTTCTATTGCTCATTGGGGTCACTATGAGTTTGAGTTAGTCTGGGCTGAGAAGAGAAATAAATTCATAGACACTCATATGTGTATATGAAAGAGCCTTATATAAAGAGTAGTTGTATATTAAGAAAACATCCCAGCCCAGTCCAGATTAAGTCCCTAAGTCCGATATTAGCCCATACGTTCGTTACCAGTCTATAAATTCCTCCAGACTCACACAACACATGCAATGATGCCAAATACTGGAAAATCACAGGCCAGTGGGTGAAAAGTCTTCTGGATCCAGTGGCGGTGGAAATATCTCAGCACTTGTGTGGGTCTCCATGTGGGTTCTCCAGCTCCAGGGCTCTGGTTCCCTCAGTGTATTTCCATGTGGCTTCTCAATAGGAATAGAAAGCAGAGAGAGAGTGTATCTGGCATCCAGTGAGCTATTTATCTCCTTTGCCCCTCCATATGAGGTTATCAAACTGTGACCTGATTGACAGGCTAGACTCCATCCCTTCACAAATTGATAAGAGTTCATGTAACTGTCACAGAGTTGAAGCCAATTCCGTGGCACCTAACAACAACAGCAGCAGCAGCAACAACAACAACAACAACAGTGATTAATGTAACTAAGCACTCTACTACTAACTGAACTTTTAATATCCATCCAGAGGCGACTCAGGAGATAGGCCTGGCAATATCCTTTCGAAAGATCACAACCACTGAAAACACTACAGAGCACAGTTTACTCTGATAAATATGGAGTTTCCTTGAATCAGAATCACATCAATGGTCACTGTTAGATTTTGGTGTTTTTTTTGGCTAATGGCTCATGGTCAAATAGCATCTTTTCATGTGTTTACTCATCATTTGTATGTCGTTCTTGGTGAAATGTACATTCAAGTTCTTTGCTTTTTTTTCTTTTTCTTTTTTACTGTTGGGTTGTCAGAGCTTCTTATGTATCATGGATACAAGTCTCTTAATGGTTATATAATTTCTAATATTTTTCCCACCCTGTAGGTTGTCTTCTTAATTTCTTTAAAAATAGTTTTATTGGCTTATACTTCATATATCATACAATTTAATTGTTCCATCATATTAAGAATATTTGTGTAATTATCACCACAATCAATTTCAGGACATTTTCTTCTCACACTCATTGTTATCTCCCCGTTTCCACCTTTTGCCCTGGCCATTTCCCTAGACAATTAACAATCCAACTTACTGTCTCTACACATCTACTGATCCCGGGTCTCATATAGAGAAAATTATATGAAATACAACCAAGAACAAACAAATGAGCAAAACCCAAAACAACACATACACACACACACACCAAACACTAAATGACTAGACAAAACAGAAAAATCACAATCAAAAAGAAAGAAAATATTAAAAAATGAAAGAATTTAAAAATGGATCAAAAGAAAGACCTAATGAAAAGGTATAACATTTTAACCTACCTATATCTGGAATAATCCACTTTCCAATGTTCTTTGTCTGATAGCAAGGTTATTCACATCCCTGGACTAAGGCCAGAGGGGACTCACAAAAACCTTAATCCATGTGATGACCCTGCAAATAGACTTTGGTCTTCCACTGTCACTCAAAGTGTTCTGAAAACTGGGTATTCACAATTTAAGCTTTAAAACTATTCCCTCTTTTGGTTTTGGATTTTATTATTTACAATCTTTGGATCACACGGGTTGATATGCTTCTTCCATGTGGACTTAGTTGATGCCTCATTTAGATGGCTGCTTGTGGCTTGAAAATCAAACCCTTAAGATCCTAGGACCCCTGGTAGCATTGTGGTTTACACATTGGGCTGCTAACTTCAAGGTCAACTGTTTGAAATTACCAGTGGCTCCAGGGAGATACGACAGGGATTTTGACTCTCATAAAGAGTTATAGTCTTGGAAACTCAAAGGGGCAGTTCTATCCTGTCCTATAGGGTCATTATGAGTCAGAATTGACTTGCTGTCAGTGAGCTCGTGATTGTCTCTCTGATAGAGGTGCAGCTCTTGGTTTCTGTACCACACTTTGACAGAGCATTCATATTTTTACTGATCTCTTCATGAGGGCAAGCATGAACAAGTCCCAATCACCTATATTTTTTTTCTTCTGCTTTGTGCGCACCCTTTTTAATATTTGGTAGTTTGTGTATACCTGGCAATAGGGGCCTTAAGTTTGTTCCAATTTCCTCACTGATAATCCTTGTATCTCTGGGGTTGACATTTAGGCCTCTAATCCATCTTGAATTCATGTTTGTGCATGGGGCAATGTATGGGTCCTGTTTTATTCTTCTGCAGATGGTGATCCCGTTTTCCAGCACCATTTGTTGAAAAGGGTGGCCCTTCCCATTTAGTGTTTTTTGGTCGTTCGTCAAAAATCATGTATGTAGATAGATTGTTTTATTGCAGCGTTTTCTATCCTGTTCCATTGGTTTGTGTATCTACCATTGTACCAGGCAGTTTTTACCACTGTGGCTGTGTGGGAGCTTTTGAGGTTGGATGGTACAGGCCTCCTATTTTGTTCTTATTTTTGAGAAGTTCTTTGCTTATCCTGGGCTTCTTCCCTCTCCATATGAAGTTGGTAATTAGATTTTCCATTTCTTTAAAGGATGAGGTTGGGATTTGGATTGGAATTGCATTGCATTTATAGATTGCTTTGGGTAGTATTGGAAGTTTCACAATATTGTCTTCCTATCCACTTGTGTAGGTTTCTTGTAATAATGTTCCATAGTTTTCTTTGTGCAGGTTTTTGTTTATTTGGTTAGGTTTATTCCTAGGTATTTCATCTGTTACTTTTGGTGCCTATTATAAATAGCATTGTTTTCTTGATGCCTTTTTGGGAGCTCTCTTCACTACTGTGGAGGAATTGGATTGATTTCTACTTGTTAATCTTCTATTCTGCTAGTTTACCAGAGCCCTCAATTATTTCCAATAGTCTTTGTGGAGTCTCTGGGGTTACCATACATAGAATCATGTTGTCTGTGAATGAGGAGAGCTTCACTTCTTACTTGGTTTCTTTCTATTGTCTGATGGTTCTAGCTAAGACTTCCAGGACAGAGTTGAATAAGAGTAGTGATGAGGGACACCCTTGTCTAGTTCCCATTTGCAGGTGGAAAAGTGTTCAGGTTTTCCCCACTGCATTTGATATTGGCTGTTGGATTTTGTATATGGCCTATATTATGTTGAGAAATTTTCCTTCTATTCCTATTTATTAATGGATAGTGAATGGATTTAGAAATGGATATGATATTGTCAAGGGCTTTTTCTGCATTGATTGATAACAATCGTGTGATTCTTATTCTTTGTCTTGTTTATGAGGTGGATTGCATTGATTGTTTTTTGAATGTTGAACCATCCTTGCATCTCTGGTATGAATCCCACTTGATCATCATGAATTATTTTTTTGATATGTTGTTGGATTCTATTGGTTAGAATTTTGCTGAGAATTTTTGAATCTATGTTCATGAGAGATATTGGTCTGTGGTTTTCTGTCTTTGGGAGACTTTGCATGATTTTTGTATCAGGGTTATGCTTATATCATAGAATGGGTTTGGGAGTTTGCTGTCCCTTTCTATATTCTGGAATAATCTGTGTAGAATTGTTGACAGGTCTTCCATAAATTCTTGGTAGAATTACCCCTGTGAAGCCATCTGGTCCTGGACTTAAAAAAAAAATTTTTATTGGGGGCTCATAAAACTCTTATCACAATCCATACATACATCCGTTGTGTCAAGCACATTTGTACATTTGTTGCCATCATCATTCTCAAAACATTTGCTTTCTACTTGAGCCTTTGGTATCAGCTCCTTATTTATCCTCTACTTCCCCACTGCCCCCTCCCTCATGAACCCTTAATAATTTATACATTATTATTTCATCATATCTTACACTGTCCAACATTTCCCCTCACCCACTTTTCTGTTGTCCGTCCCCCAGGGAGGAGGTTATATGTAGATCCACAAGGATCTACAATCGGTTCTCCCTTTCTAGCCCACCCTCCCTCTATCCTCCCAGTATCACCACTGTCACCACTGGTCCCAAAGGGATTGTCTATCTTGGATTCTCTGTGTTTCCAGCTCCTATCTGTACCAGTGTACATCCTCTGGTCTAGCCAGATTTGTAAGGTAGAATTGGGATCATTATAGTGGGGGGAGGAAACATTTAGGAACTAGAGGAAATTTGTATGTTTCATTGTTGCTACACTGCACCCTGACTGGCTCGTCACATCCACCTCCCACCCCCACCCCACCCTACCCCGTGACCCTGATGTCTAGTTGCCTACAGATGGATCTTGGGTCCTTAATCTGCACTCTCTCTCATTCACAATAATATGATTTTTTTTGTTCCTTGATGCCTGATACCTGATCTCTTCGGCACCTCATGATCACACAGGCTGGTTTGCTTCTTCCG